ATTATATAAAACTAAGAATTTATGTGTTCTGTAAAATTAAATTCTATTCATGGAAAATAATTATCCAGACAACATTATTTATGAACATATTTTTATTATACTAAGATTTTGATTAAAAAAAAGGGCATATTACAAATAAGCCCATCAGTGGGAACTTATTCATAAAGAGATCCAGACAATATTCTCCTTTACCAATAAGTCCACACATGGTCCAGATTTATGTAAAGGACTAAAATAACCCCTCTTACTTTAATATGCTCCAATTTCATCCTTAACTTACTTTAACTTCAATTTGACCCCAACTTTCACAAATTATTCAATTTTGACCCAAAACTTTTTTTTTTTCACAATTTTTTTTTTTTTCAAAAAACTTTTTTTTCCCGCCGGATTCCGGCGTTGACTTTTTTTTTTTTTTTTTTATTTTTTTTTTTCCTTCCGGATTTTTTTTCCGGATTCCGGCGTTGACCGGCGGTCAACGCCGGTCTCCGGCGTTGACTTTTAAATTTTTTTTTTTTTTTTTTTTCCCCCCCGGATTTTTTTTCCGGAATCCGGCGGTGACCGGCGGTCAACGCCGGTCTCCGGCGTGACTTTTAATTTTTTAATTTTTTTATTTTTTTTTTCCGTTTAAACAACAATATTGCTGTGAATGACAGTAATATTAACTATATTACTGTTAAACACAGTAAAATTAACTAAACTATAGTTTAACACATTGATATTGCTATATTAATCTCTAGCACATTAATATTAACACAACAAAATTCATTATTATTGTATAATAAAGTAATATTACTATATATGTTGTCCGTTCAACAAATGTAAACAAAATAAAAAAAACCAAAAGAATTAATATTACTGTGAGAGACAGTAATATTACTATAGCAACAGTAATATTACAATAGTAGACAGTAATATTATTACGTTACTCCGTGAATAACTCGAACAAACAAAAAATCCAAACAAAATAATAATATTGATGTGGTTGACAGGAATATTACTATAACAACAGTAATATTACCGTCAACCACAGTAATATTATTGTGTTTACAGTAATATTACAATAATAGACAGTAATATTAATACGTTACTCCGTGAATAACTCAAACAAAACAAACACCCCAAAAAAATAATAATATTGATGTTGTTGACAGTAATATTATTGTGTTTACAGTTATTTTACTGTCAACGACAGTAATATAATTACGTTGACTTGTCAACAAATCAAAAAAAATAAAAATAAAATAATAATAAATAAAAAAATATAATATTGCATTAATTTACTGTCAACGGCAGCACAATTACATAAATGTAATGTCAACGGCAGTACAATTACGTTAATTAACTATCATTGACAGTATAATTACGCTAAATTACTGTCAGTGACAGCACAATTACGGTCAACGTGTAGCGGCGGGCATGGAAAAACAAAACAAACCAAACAAAAAAAAAAAACTTAAAAAAACACTAAAGAAAGAGACCGCCGGAAACCGGCGCAAAAATCCGGAAGAAAAGAAAAGAAAAAAAAAAGAAAAAAGCAAAAAAAAAAAAAAAAAAAAAAGTCAACGCCGGAATCCGGAAAAAAAATCCGGAAGGAAAAAAAAAATAAAAAAAAAAAAGTTTAAAAAGTCAACGCCGGAATCCGGCGGCAAAAAAAAGTTTTTGAAAAAAAAAAAAAATTTTGGGTCAAAATTTAATAATTTGTGAAATTTGGGGTCAAATTGAGATTAAATTAAGTTAAGGATGAAATTGGAGCATATTAAATTATACTCCAAAAAAAAGTCAAAATTGAATTTTTGTGGTCAAAATTGAACTTTTATGGACAAAATTGATTAATTTGGATTACAATTAAGAATTGGGTATAAATGATTGAGGGTAATATTGGGATATACATGAATGTTTCCTTTAGTTATAATAAATATTAAAGGGATGGGCTTATTGGTGAAAGAGATATGTCCCCTATACCTAGAATAATAAACATGCTTGGTTGGGGACTTTTGCATAAAAATCCCTAAAAAAAAAGGGTCCATTTGATATACACCCTTAATATGGAAAATATATAGGGATAGGTCCACCCCTAAAATTCTTCCTTTGAGATAACCCCCTGGAGAGGCAAAAGTACTATTGTGCCCTTCTATCTAATTTTTGCCCAACTGCATTCAATATTTTTACTAACTGCATTCAGCATTATGATCAACTGCAATTAACATTTAGACCTGCATTTATCATATTATCAGATTTTTTTAATAAAAAATTATAAATGTTTATTTTATTATTATTTTTTATATATACTTCTTGTATTTTTTAAATTTTTTAAAATTGTTTAATTTTTTGTAATTTTTAATTTTTTTAATTTTTTAAAATTTTTAATTTTTTTAATTTTTTAATTTTTTTAATTTTTAATTTTTTTAATTTTTAATTTTGTTTCAATATTTTGATAAATTTACTGTATTGAAATTGACTACACATGACTATTGTATATATATTACATATGATTATATAAAAAAAACTTCATCTACACCAAAAACAAAAATTCATAATTTAATCTTGATACTATAAATCAATTAATACCCAACAAAAAATTGGAAAAATACAATCATCAACATCACTATACATCAGAAAAAACACATAACTTATATAGCTTATATATAACAATATATTACTACGAGTTACTACACGTGACTATATATGACTACATGTATATGACTACACATGACTATATATGACTACATGTATATGACTACACGTGACTATATATGACTAAATGTATATGACTACACGTGACTATATATGACTACATGTATATGACTACACGTGACTAAATATGACTATATGTATATGACCACGTGTGACTATATATGACTTGATAACGCAAATCTCTCCTACACTGAAACAAGTACAGCCAAGTTTCGAATAAGACGTAATTGTCGAGAAACTGCCGGTCCTCCCACTGTATCATCACCGACTCGCCTGACAGACTCCTCATCCAATACGAGAGTAGCTTCTAGAGTTGGTAGCCAATCTGCTTGTTGAAGCCAATGTCTCAAAGAAGAATTGCCATGATACTGAACATAAAAATAATTCAGACCCTCAATCATCTTGGAAATATGAAATCATTAGCACATTAACTAACAGAATAAATGAAAACGGGAGCACCCCTTTAGATTGACTTTTTGAGAAAGAGAAACTTACACCATGTACTAGAGTAAATGAACCACTGTCATCATTTGTGGATGAACATATATAGCCATGAACTTGAACCGAGTAAGAATGGTACATTACTCTACGGTGAGCCAGTCTTTTCAATACCTGAATGTAATTTCACCAAGAAAACATCAAAGTCGGACAATATATCACCATTTTCAAAATGTAACTTACTAATGTGTCAACTTAGCATACCTCTATTGCCATTCTTCCCCTACGTTGCGCCTGATTGCTAACCAGTTGCCGAAACACAACTTTCTTATTGAACAGTGGACTGCATTACTAGAAAGAGAACATTATTAGAATTTCTATTTCTCTTCATGATACTTCGGTTGATAAAATCCTGAAACGAATGCCGTAAATCAAAACAAACCTACTAGCTTCCTTCGTTGTAGCTTCATATACAACTTCATCACCCTGCATTACAACTCAACAAAAGCACAATGAACACAGTCAGATCATAGCAACATGAAACTTTATGAACTCAATCTTACAACATAAATAGCAAGAGAAGCCAATAAACTGCTACTTACCATAATAATTAATAATTACATGTAGTCATGTACTTTTTTTGCCCCAATATACATTTTCCAAACAATTCACCAAAACATTGATTACAGGAACAGAAAATAATCAAACACAATACAACTGAAATTATTCATAAAATTAAAATCATCTTTCTCTCTCCATTTTTCCTTTATTGCATTCATTTTATTAATATACACATTGAACAGAGATGGTGAGTTTATGAGCATACCCTCTCAAAATTATCTTTCTCTCTCCAGTTTTCCTTTGCATTCATTTTATTAATATATATATTGAACAATTGGAACAGGAAAATTCAGAGAAAATAATAAATTAATAAAATATGAAGAAAAAAGACTTACGGCTAGATTATCACCAGGGGTAGTTGTCTACCTGGAACGGGATCCCGTGCGGCGGAATATGGATCCCGTTCTCCTCGTAATCGTCGTCGATCTCCGTTCGACGATTCTCTTTGCAGGCGTTATCTTCTTGCCGACCTTCGGCTTCTTCTGGGCTGCCGCCGCCGCCGCTTCACGTCTTCCGCCGACGCAGGAAGAAATTTTCGATCGGGTGGCGGAGAAGAACGGGTGGTGCTCCGACGATGTGAAGCTACGCAGACCGCCGTTCTCCACCATGATTCCCGCAACCTTCGCCGCTGCTCTCATCGCGCCGCCTCCCATGTTATTTTTAGATTTGGTGGAGATTAATTTCGAAGAAAGAAAAGAGTGAACGAGAGAGATAGAGAAGGAGAGATGAAGAGAGTGATGTAACAGCGATTGTGGGTTTGATGAGAGAGAGAATGTTAGGGTTAGGGTATATATTGAATTTAAATTAAAAGGGCAAAATAGGTATTTTAAATTGTCTAGGGGGGTCTCACTAATTAATATCAGGATTTGGGTTTTTGACTAGGAGAAAAAAAATTATTGGACCTCCTCATATATATTTTCAAAACAAGGGGGGTATCACTCATTTCCCCTAAAAAAAAACCATAAAAAGTTATGCAAAATCAATAATTAATACATTTGAAAATTAATAAGACACGTGCACCTATCTAGTAAAAGGCTTAATTCCACTTTGCACCCTTGAAATATACCATTTTGGCACTTTGCACTCTCGAAACAAATTAATAGCACTTTGCACCCTCGAAATACAATAAATCAGGCATAATGCACCCCAAATAAATTTTTTAAGCTAAAAAATGTAATTTAATATTTGTAGTGATATTTTTTTTAGGATGTCAAATGTCAAATATTTTTTTAATTTATCAATCATTTTGAAACTATAAAGTTCAAAGACAAAAATAAATTTTATCTATATATTAATTTTTTATTTATGTATCAAATATCAAATATTTTACGGCAAAAAATCATTCAACTATTCCGTTATCAAGTAATCTGAAAATCATATTTTCTTCCAAGTATTTTCACCTAATATTTTCAAACAGTTACATAAAAGCTCCATCAATCGAATAATTTAGTGATAAAAACTTCTTTTTTATTTTTTATTTTGTAAGAAAATGTAGGCTTTTTAAATAATCCGGTGTAATTTTTATTTTTTCGCACTTTGTCCGCTCGAAATTAGGTTGGAGTTCAAGAAAACAACAATTTATTTTTTTAATTTTGCACCCCGAAAAAAAATACCAATGAAAAATGAAATTGCCTTTATTATTCAATTCAGGGTGCATTGTGAATGATTTAATGTGTTTTGAGGGTGCAAACTGCTATTAATTTGTTTTGAGGGTGCAAAGTGCCAAAATGGTATATTTCAAGGGAGCAAAGTGGAATTAAGCCCTAGTAAAATCAATAAATACATTTGAAAATTAATAAAACATGTTATGTTATACGAATTATATGGGTAAGACTTTGTTGTAAAGTGAATTATACAGGCCAGCTCAATGAATTTCAAATACATTGGTGGTTCAAATCTTTGAAAGTATAAAAATAAAAATTGAAACACACACAATAGTATTATTTATAGCTGATGGTGAAAATTATACATCAATATCAAAACCTGATGATCATGTTAACCAGCAGTTTCAGGAATATTGAATGTACGATACATTGGTTGAAACAAATTTGTGGAAATTCAAAATATTACAACAAAACAAGAAACGAACAATTTCACATGTTCAATACAACAAAAGAAAAGTATCATAAACATCATAATGTTTTCTTCTTTTACAGAAGGAAACTATTTTTTTCCCAACTCCATTTTGGATATGGAGTGGCTTAACAACAAGTTATCTTAACTCTTCAACAGGAAAATTATGAACACAACAAGAATGATAGGAAAAAAAAACATGAACAATAAAAAGCATCAAGGGAAAAATCATGAAACCTGAAACATCATTGTTCTTTCCATTTAGCGAGGGTCGTTGATTGCATGGAACAACTGGCTGTCCAAGTTGAACTGCACAGAGTACTCCCCTGTGCTGAATTCAGGAGTAATGGGAACTGGATACAGATCAGCTTGTTGCTCACCTTTTGAGTCCATGTTTCCGTCAGGTGTAATTATCTTTTCTTGTTTGTTGGAATGTGGATTATACTTTCTCAACCTCTCCAATTCCATTGTCACTTCTTTCATAGTCGGCCTTTCTTCGCCTTTTAGCTCGAGACACCTTTTAACAGTCTCACCCACTGCACTGATTTGCTCCAAACTCCCTTCCCTCAAAATTCTAGGCTCAATAATTTGGAACAATCGATTTTCATTAACCAACAACACGAAGTAATTAGCTAGGTTCGTCTCTTCTTCACTTTTTTCAGCTGACAAAGGTGTTCTCCCTGTCAGAAGCTCGGCCAAGACTACCCCGAAGCTATAAACGTCGCTCTTCTCAGTCAATTGACCTGTACGAAAATACTCAGGATCAAGATAACCCAAAGTGCCCTGTACAAGAGTGGTCACTCGTGTTTGATCAATAGGGACAAGTCTCGAAGCTCCAAAATCTGCAATTTTGGCAGTGTAAAATTCATCCAACAATATATTGGGTGACTTCACATCTCTGTGGATAACCGGCATTCCTGCTGAAGAATGAAGATAGGCAAGTGCACCGGCCGCCTCAGTGGCAATCCTCAACCGGTTTTCCCAAGAAAACCAGGGCATTCCCCGACTGTTGTGTATATGGTAATATAGGGTATTGTTTGAGATATATTCGTACACTAACAAAGGTACTTCAGTCTCCAAACAACATCCAATTAGTTTGACTACATTTCTGTGGTTAACCTGAGTCAGAATAACCACCTCATTGACAAATAGCTCTACTTCGCTCTCATCCATTATTCTTGATTTCTTGATTGCAACAATACTTTTATCGCTCAAAATCCCTTTGTAAACTGTTCCATAGCCCCCTCGACCAATAATGCGATTTTCGGAATAGTTGTTGGTGGCCTTTTCAAGATCTTCGATAGAAAATATTTTGGCTGATTCCATACCACCCTCATCAGAAGAGAGTTGTTGCTTCAATAACAAACCACCATTTTGGTGGAAAAATTTCTCTCTTTGTTTCATGAGTTTCCTCTTCTGAATGGAAAAGTATATCCAAGTAATGCCAATTATCACAATCAAGAAGCCTAAACCAATACCTGAAAATTCACATTTTTACATTTTACACATCATTATAAAGTTAACCATCTTGAAGCAATTGGAACTCATGAGACATCATTTAGACTCGGGTGGCTATCCTAGTTGCTATCAACATTCACTTATACGCGCCCGCGCGCGCACACACACACACATATATATATATATATATATATATATATATATATATATATATATATATATATATATATATATATATATATATTGTTCAGTTGGCAAAATATGTCGTGACTAATTATATAGTTGGAATTTATTTGGTGTTTGGTAGGTCATACAAAGATTAATAGACGTTTAGTAAAAATGAGGTAGATAATTTTTTCAGTGCTAGCATTTGGAAAGAAAGGTCGTAGAGTATGGAAAAAAAATGCTTGAGGTCCAAGAATTGAGGAAATTTCCTTATGTTGCCGATTTCCATAACAATCAACAATTTATTTCTACTATGATATTCTAAAGGCGGCGGTTATATGCAAGTCCGTTTTTTTATTAGTTCAAAACCACATAAAGGAGTTTATTAGTTCAAGCCCGTAAATTAATATAATTTTATTACATCAAGACCAAAGATGACAAATATACCCTTATCCACAAATAATACTCAAATACAAATAAATCTTATTTTTAATTTGTTCAAGACCAAAAATAAAAAATAAAAAACAAAAAAAAAATATCACGTCTGCCAACCAGCGAGACTTTCACCGCACCGGCGATGACCAGCGACCCACTCACCGCACCATTACCACCACCGCACCACCACCAACAAGTAAGTCCATTTTACTAAACTTTTGTTTGTAAATTCAAAAACATTAATCGAGCATCGATGTCCTTTTTACTATTTTTTTTTTTGTAAATTCGAAAACATTAATCGAACATCGATTCTTGATAAATATGTTTGAATGAACATTAATCTATTCTTATTTCTTGTTGGGTTGCAATGATTTGGCCGATTTTGGAAAAAAAAAATGAGATTGAAATTGATTTTTTTTATTTTTTTTCGTTGGTTTCCGAAATCGGTTTATCCAGACCGATTTTGTACACGAAAATCGGCGTCATAATACCGATTTGTGTTAACCAAATCGGCGACACAACGTCGACTTTACAAGTCAAAATCGGCGTTCTAATGTCGATTATTGAGTACAAAATCGGTTTTCGAATACCGATATTTTTCGAATTTTTTTTTAAATAATAGATTATATATTTGGTTAATTAATATTTTTTAAATATTTGAAACGAAAATGTTTATCACCATTCGGTGGCGTCTACCACTCCTTTAACCCAATCGAGTAGAGCTTTCCGTAACTCAAATATTTATTCGTTAAATAATTCATTTGAATAATCCTCCATCAATCCCCTAGGTTGATGCACGAAAGTATGAGAAAACGGTCTTAAAAAACACAGATAATAAAATCGGTATTTAAAAACCGATTTTTGTAGTATAAGTTGGCATGACAATACCGATAATACAAACATAAATCGGTGTTGTCATGCCGATTTTTACTACAAAAGTCGGTTTTTAAGTACCGATTTTTATTAAAATAATCGGAATGTGGTTACCGACTTTAGTAACAAAAATCGGTATATGCAGACCGATTTTTGGTATCATCGAATTTTTTTTCCAACAAAAAAAAAAGTCCCAAAAGCAAAAATAAATGGTTAAAACATATTTCATTGTGTTCTCCACCCTCGTAAACCACTATATCATTGTTTTCTGGTTCCATCGTCAATATTTGGTATGTATTTGATAATTTTGGTGTGTAGAATTTCTCTGTGGGTTTGTGAAGAAGAAGGAGAAGAAGGAGAGTTTTGAGTCGTGAAATAAGGAAGAGGGGTTTCTGGATTTATGTATTTTATTTGGTCTTGCAGAAAGGAAATATATTTTTTTTTTACTATTTTGTGTTTTTTATTTGATTTTAAATTTCATTAAGGGTAAATTAGTATTTTTATGTTGGAGGTCTTGAACTAATAAAAAAAATGGGCTTGCATATAACCGCCGCCTATTCTAAAATATGCAGTTTGTGTTGTGCGCATAACTCGTGGAAGCTGTAATCTTTGATTTGGTCAATACTTGATTTTTGTCCTCATGCAACATTAAATAAAATGAAAGGAGATATGCACTGAACTTATCATTCAAAAATCACATGTACCTAGGGAGAACTTGAGCTCTAATTTTGGCTTATTTTGTTCAGAGCAGCCACGGCCATCTTTTGTGCCATCTCCATTGAAGCCATCAGGACAAGAACATTTGTAACCACCGGGACTGTTAATGCACATGCCTTTTGGATGACAAGGACTATTGCCGCATTCATTTGTGTCTGAAATTCAAGAATAGAGATATAGTGATCAGCTTGTAGTCAAAACTTTAAACCCCATAAATTTCTAACTTGACAAATAATTTAACTATGGTGTAATGGAATAGCCAACCTGTGCAACCTGGGTCGAGATAGGGATTACCCACATATCCACCCAAGCAGCTGCAACGATACCCACCAAGACCTGTGTCGGAATCAATGCAATAAGTGTTCTTTTGACATGCATAATCACTAAAATTTTGAGCATACGCACAAGTTTCATTCCCAATAACCCAATCAAGGACTATCGGGACATTTTGGGCTGTTCTGTTTTCAAAGGTCTTGTCGTTGAGGTCAGATGGATGAAATGTGAATGTATTTCGCTCTGCAAGAAAACCATAACCACAAGGATCAAAGGACCACACTTTAGTGTGATTATCATAGCTCGTTACAGATGCATAAAAATTTCCTAGGCCCTTTGGTATTGCGGTCTGGCAACAACCTTTGCCACTACAAGAACCATCAACAAGATCCTCTTTTGCTGAACAAGAGGCATCGCACGTACTTAAGAAACTAAGCCCATGTCCTACTATCATGGCAAAATCATCACATCCCACGGTTGTGAACTTGTTTGCATCTGATAAGCTAAAGTATGGAGGCAGCAAAATGGAGATGTCGGTTTCAACGGTCGAGTTACCTTGGCGGTTGTAACAGGTGGCAGCCACCGAATTCTTGATCCTCATCTGGGAATCTGTGATACCAATAACTTCAAGATTATTTTCTTCTGAAATAATATAGGGCTTTGGAGGATTGAAAGAAGTATTGCAGTTGATATCAAAAGAAGGTTGTATAGAACAGCCTGCGCCTACGCCAATGCCAAATGGATAAGGAACCGTTAAGTTCCCACACTTGCTTTGGCAGCCAGGCTTAGTTATATTGGGGCCTTTTGCAATAGTTTCATTAGAAACCGCAAACGTCCATTCGACTAATACGAAATGGAAAAGAAGAGAACACAAAAGATTTTTTCTGGTCATTTTTTGTGATGATGTTGAGCTAATATTCATTCACAACAATAATGATCTTCACACATGGAATCATGTATATATGTATTTTTGTGCCTGAGACATAATGTTGGCTTGTTCTTTGTCCTAATCATATTCCCACTTGTTTTTTGAATAATAATACTAGTTGTGCACAACCATTATAATTGTAAGAATAGCTGGGCAGATAACTTCATCATTTAACAAATAGACACTATCAAACTAAAGACAATTAATCTACAATCCAAGAAAAGGATTTGAAAAGTTTTTTTTATTAAACGACGATCACACACGTCCTAGAAGATTGTTAACCACTTTGTCCTTTTCTTTCATCAATAATTAAGTTGTCAGCTTTCACTACAAAGAATGTTTCAAATAATCTTATGTGGCATTTTGAGAAATGGCCTAAACTCATTATTTTTCCTTAACAAAGAACCTCCGTAATACCCTATATATCAATTATATCACATGTGGGAATCTCTCAATTTCTATGCAACATATCTTCCGTAGATTCAAACAAACTCAATTAATTTGTTATTATATAAATGAAAATATAAATCCATTTTGCATAATTATCTATGAGATTGCATTGGAGTTTGAATAATTTGAATTTTATGAGAGGACTTGGAAAATTGTTTCAAATGAACATTTGTATAGTAATATTTAAATTTATCATATAATCCAAAAATTAATTCAAACATAAAATTTAATCATTTGAAATAATTTGTAAGAATTGGTTTTAAGCAATGTCCGAACAAACCTATTGGATTCACAATTATAAATTTGTTAACAACTTTGGCCTGATTTTATATGCAACAAAATCATATTCAACTGGGAATAAATAAATAAAAAATCATAGTGAACTGAAGAATGCATGTCCCACCTAGGCCGTAGCATTTACTTTCTTAAACACAATCTGCGTTAGTGTTAATTAGCGGTAAAAATTAAAAAGTAAAAGGAGTTGTTAATAATAATGTTAATTAAGGGAATGGGGATGGAAATAAACTTATTGTTTCGCGAGTTAGTGAGGCGAAGGGGTGTCCTTGTCATTGTTAATTGAGAGGTATATTTTCGAAATGATTTTTTTGAACATAAATTTAGGACGGAGAAGAAGTCGAGGCAAGAATCGGATTTTTTTCTCAAGATACTGCATAAAGGCCTTAGCAAAGATGGTCTCTATTGCTCCAGAACAACAAGCTATCTCAAGATCACATGACAATTCAGTTGAACAAAATGTTGCGCAACCAGATATCTCCAATCAACCCCGACGCATTCTTACACAATCCCAAACTCATAGCTTGAAGCCAAGAAATGAGCTTTGATAAGAAATGGCACTTGGGGTCTAGTGCTTCCGAAAAGCACATACAAACTGGTCGGCGATAAATATCTTGGTCTTACACGTCCAGACATAGGCTTTAGTGTTCATCGGGTGAGCAAGTTTATGCATCAGCCCGAGCAATCTCATTGGCAAAGCCGTAAAACGAATTCTTCGGTATTTAAAGTAAACAATTTCTTTTGGCCTTCGCATAACCAGTCAATCTGACTGTACCACTCCCTAAATGGTTATAGTGATGCGGATTGGATAGCCGATATTGATAGTTGGCGAAGTGGTCGGTGCATATTGTGTCTTCCATGGCAACAATCTTATATCCTAACACAGGCTACTGAGATTCAATGGCTCCAATCAATACTGAATGATCTTCAATTTCCGTTGCGTAGCTGCCCCGAAACTTTGGTGTCATAATATTGGCGCCACGTATTTTTCCTCCAATCCAGCTTTCCATGCACGCACAAAGCATACAGAAATCGACTTTCATTATGTCCGTGATCAAGTTGTTCAGAGAAAGCTTCAAGTTATGTTCTTGTCACTAGTACAAAATTTGCTTATTACTACGAATTTGTTTGCTACGGTGAAAAACCGTAATAAAAGGTACTTTTTACTACGGAACAATTTTGAAGTCGTAGTAAATACTAGGATTTACCATAGCAAAAAAGTATTTGGTAGGGCCATTTACGGTAGCAAAACTTTTGTCACGCCCGTATATGCTACAGGGTAAATTCGTAGCAAATGCATACCAAAAGCCTTTTTACTACGAATTTGATACATTTTGCTACAGTTAAAGATCGTAGTAAAAAGCCATTTTTCTACTAGTGTGTCCACTAAGCCATTAGCCGCTTCTCGATTTATGCTACTTAGAGACAATCTTCATGTGCAGGAACTACGCATTCGATTGAATACACGATTGTAAATGAGGTATAAATAGCAAGCAATCCTCATAATTTTTAGATCAGAAAAATGAGTTTAAATACACGACTAAAAACTCACTTGAACATTCAAGTAGTTATTAAAATATTTCTATGAAAAATAAAAAACACATTCTTTTTTTTAATTGACAGTGAAAATTTTTAATTAAAATACATTTTTTTTTTAATAATTTTAGGCCTCTAAAAAAGAACCGAAGCCTAACTTGTAGTAGGAAGAACCAATTGATGAGAGAACCATAAGTAGGACCGGCAATTGAGCCGGGCCTAATCGAAGCCCGATGGCTCGGCCCGATTATATTTGAGCCGAGCCTACTTTTTAGTGAGCCGGGCTGAGTTTGAGCCATTTTACTAAACCCGATTTATTTATGAGCCGAGTTTGAGCCTACTATGGCTCAACCCGAATAAGGCCCGACCGATTAGGATAATAATAATATATAGTATATTTATTATTTTAATGTTGTGGATCAACATACAAGTTAGGACTGTATAAGATTATTTGATTTTGTAAAGAAAAAAGTCAAAATAAAAGGAATTAAGTAGTGACGGTGGTAATAAGTTAAATATGAATCAAATGCAACATATCACCGAGATTTGACAATATAAAACGTTTCCAATAATAAGAATTACTAATTTTTTGTTTTTACGTTTTTCAGTCTTATTTTCAAGTTTTTCGAATAACATGCAAAGATCGTCTAGGTTTTTTTTTTTGGATTGACTTCATTGGAGGTAAATCTTGTTCATCACTTATTTTTATAAATTTCGTTACTCATTACAATTATATAGTAATGGGGCCCGATATAAACCCGAAACCCGAAAAATTACATGAGCCGAGCTTGAGCCTATACTAATGAGGCCCGATGGTATGTAAGCTTGAGCCTATAGTAACGAGGCCCGATGGTATGTGAGCTTGAGCCAACCCAAGCTCGGCTCACATGGCCCGATTGCCAGCCCTAACCATAAGTATATTGTTGATAATATATATCTTGTTTTATAAATTAAGAATGCATTGTTATTCTTGGAAACAATTAATAAATATAGTACGCCCTACCTAGTTAATCAAATATAAGTCCTCACTATTTTGGAACATAAAGCAATATGAAACTTATTGCAGATATAAATATACGCCTTCACTATATTGCGGCGTAAATCAATATGAAACTTGTTGCATATATTAATATTAAGTGATACCTTTCAATAGTTGAGGTGATTGAGAGTCGGACCAAATAAAAGATCATGAATTTGAAAAGGAAAAGAATAAATGCGAAACTATAAATACTTATACATCACCAAATGGTGAAACTAAACTTTCACGATAGACAGTGAACTGCTCTATACAAACACCAAGCGTATTAATAGGAGACTTACGCATCTCATTCTTGCTGTTATAAACAATTATATTCGTTCCAAAAGCCACTGCAATATCTCCATTCTTCTTCAAACATAATGGCTTCGCCTCAATAGGATAACGATGAAGAAACTGATGAAGAAACCGATCTTTATAGGTACAAAAATTGGAAAGTTTCCAAACCTTAGTCCAAGATTCTGCATTACCATACTCCATCATAGCCCAAACATTTACATCATGCTCGCATCTCTTCGTAACCACCAAACTAAGAAATCCTCCCAATTCTTCCAACTTTAAAACATGATTATTAACATTATGATTTGAGAAGCATTTTGGACCTCCGATGCTTTCATATTTCTCCTCGGCCAAATCAAGAGAAACAATCTCGAAAAGAACCCTATAAGAGAAACGTGTAGCTGTCCAAGCCAACCAATGGAACCTTCCATTCACAAACTTTGCATGATTCTCATCGAGAAAACCCTTGTCGAAATTCCCGATTTTCTTCCAAGAACCGGTCTTGAAACTATACATATGTGCCGCATAGGGACACTTATAGGAGAGTTCAACGCAGACAACCTTGTACGCGTCTTGCGCCTCATCGTACCCAAACCCATAAATCGAGCGATCTTGATTTTTATCGTCAAAACATGGAGGTGGAGTATTGTCATTAACTTCTTTAGTTAAAGGATTCCATAAAAGTAGTTTCTTGCTACTTTCATTAATGTTGATGAGTATTAGCCCATTACACGATCCCACAATCAGAATAGGGTTACGCGTTAGATGATCATCGAAATGAGGAGTCATGACGATGGGCTCGTTACCGAGAGAACACGATCCGAAACCGGAGAAACGATAAAAGTTTTGATTCAATTTGAAGCTGAAGAAGAGCTTGTTGTCTTCGTCGTCGTCGGTGCTCGATTTCGATATCTTGAGGTGTTGTTTGATGAAGTGTTTGGTGGAGATTAAAGAAAGCCAGCTTCTTGAGATGCACTTGAATCTCAACACAGATTTCAACGGCAGTTTGCATAAAACTTCCTGAATCATATCATCTGAAATGTTGATTGTTTTTCCCATTCTGTGAAATTCTTTTTTAATTACCTTGCGGCCGTACATCTGCAAAAGTAACCTAGATCTCTTTTTTCTTCTTCTCAGCCGTACGTAAAAAAACCCTAAAAGTTAAGGAGAATTCTGGTATGACTAGGAGGAGTCCATTAACTTATTAATTATTATTTATTTTTTCAAATTTTTAAAATTAACTTATTATTATTAGAGTATTTTGAATCGTGTGCTTAGAGCAACTCCAATGTTAAACATCAAAATTGGATTATCAAATACTTATTTGATAATTAAGATAATATTTTAATATCTATTTACAACTTATTTACTCCAACCATGGTTATCTAAATCAATAATCAATTGGAAGTTTTTTAGTGGTTTTATTTGTAATTGCCACGTGTCATTTTTTGATTGGATGTTTAGGTAGTTATTTTTTTGATAACTCAATTTCCGGGATGTATTTTTGCATTCAAAGAGGTAGAATATCAAAATACTTATCCATTTTGATACTCCCATTGGAGTGGAAAATTTTGATTTTGGAATATCAAAAAGTTGGTTTATGGATTTAATAATCCATTTGATACTCCCATTGGAGTTGCTCTTAGAGATAAATTGAATACACTTTGATTCAACATTTAAATTTTATTAAATTTTAACTTTTAAGGCTTATTTTATAGGGTAAATGGCAAATAGGTCAATGACAAGGACGTTTAATTAAAAGACGGACTTCCAACTTTTTTGTCTTTCAAATAAATCCAGCTCATTCAAACTTATTTGCAAATAAGGAAAATCCTTTTATATATACCAAAATTACCCCCAATTCATTGAAATTCAATTCAACTCCAATTTCATGATTTAAACCCCAATTTCACCAATTAACCAATTTCGACCCCCCACCACCGGAGACCGCCGGTCAGCCGTCGTTTACCCCCGATCTCCGGCTTTTTGACTTTTTTTTTATTTTTTTACTTTTATTTTCTGATTTTTTTTCTGGTAGGTCAACCGCCGTTGACCGGCGTTGACTGTTTTTTTATTTTTTTTTCTTAAAAATATATTTTATTTAACATTACTGCCTTGGCTGCCGGTCAGCCGTCGTTTACCCCAAAGAAAAAATCGATAAAGGGACAAAAGTACGCCTATTGACAATCAGAAAATTATTCAACGCCGAAAAATATGACTTGAAAATAAAGCGGGGTGCATTTTGAACGATTAAATGTGTTATGAGGGTGCAAAGTGTCATAAATTGTTTTCGAGGGGGCAAAGTGCTAAAATGGTGCATTTCGAGGGTGCAAAGTGGAATTAAGCCGACCTTTGGATATAAAGAAAGATATTTTCGATTTTTGAGAAGATAATGAAAAAGTTGCTAATAGATCTCAACATCAACCCATACATTGGAATGGTGGTGTTTATGTGCTTACGTGCGTATATGGTAATACTACAATATCCCAACGTCCGGTGAAACCAACATTGACGACCCACACTTATTCTAGTCATTCCAAAATCTCGATGATGCATTAAAGTTGGTGGAGTTGGCTATTTCAATTGTGACGGAAGATTACTGAATATTTTCTATATTCGTGAGTTAATTAAGAAGAAAGACTATATATATGTTGACAATCTTTAGATGCTACTACATTTTCATGCATAGGAGATTTGGTAATTACAACATTCAAGAAGATGATCTATAATATTGTAATACACGAGCGAGCTTAATGATCTATTGCCAACACTATCAGGGGAGCGTGATCAATAATAATTACTTTCTATATCACAATCTAATATCTTTCTTTATACGGATAATTACACTTTTAGTCCGATTTCACTTTTGGTCCCCCTTGTTTCAATGTGAACAAAGTTCACCTTCAAGTTTCAATTTTGAACACTTTTGGTCCCCGCCATTACATTTCCGTTGGCAAGTAACGGAAAACACTATTTTCGGGCGAAAATTAATTTTTAAAATTTTTTAGGGCTGAAAAATAGTTACAAATTTAAAATAGACTACTTATAATTAAACTTTTAATAATATTAAGTATAATGAAATTTATTTGGTTAATTTCTTTTTTTATTATTAAAAATAATCATAAGTAGTATGATGAAAACTAATATTAAGTATAATGTACTATAATTTATTTAGTTAATTTATTTTTTATTATTAAAAAATTAATTATAAATAGTATAATTATACATGACTTGTTCAGATAATTTCCTTTTTTTATTATTATTTTTTTATTTATAAGTAGTATAATTAAAAATACTATTAATTACAATTAAAAATAATTTGTTTAGTTAATTTATTTTTTATTATTAAAAAATTAATTATAAGTAGTATAATTATAATAATATTAAGTATAATTAAAACTAATTTGTTTAGTTAATTTATTTTTTTATTATTTTTTTATCATAAGTAGTATAATTAAAAATAATATTAAGTATGATTAAAATAATTTGTTTAGTTAATTTTTTTATTATTAAAAAATTAATATAAGTAGTATAATTATAATAATATTAAGTATATTAAAAAGTAATTTGTTTCGTTGAATTTTTTTATTATTATTAAAAATTATAAGTAGTATATTTTAAATTTATAATTATTTTCCCAGAAACTCTAAAAACAGTTTTTTTTAATAAAACCTTCCATCACTAACTTTTCTCTCCTTTTTTATAGCACACGTATGTGTATTAAAGTTTATTGTTAAAATAAATATATAGATTATGATTGCAATTAGTGGAATTTTTACATTTTTGAATACCATTGTTTTTCTATTGTACATGTCATATATGTTTACTAATATCTAGTTTTGTTTATTTTATATTTTTTGAAAGTTTTTTGAAAGTTTACTAATATCTAGTTTTGTTTATTTTATATTTTTTTTCAAGATCCGCCCTGCCAAGAGACAAAATACTAGTAATCAATAAATATACTCTTTTTTTACCTTGTCCAGATTTTTCCAATTGAGTTTTAGTGGAAATATTTTAACGACATATTTCATTATTTTTCAAATTTGAGTTTTAGTGGAAATATTTTAAGTATATACAATAATATGTGTTAGAGAATTGGTTTAAAACTCATTTAATTCCTTGTAATAGAACATTATATTTTAAGCACGTGTACATACATAGATGTTCAATTATCGAAAAATTCAACTGTCCAACATTCGAATACTCTTAGCCAAAACACACCCGAACAAACAAAAAAAATAAAAAGATATGGCATTAATTGAAAGATGAAACAATTAGAAAATAGTTCAAAAATTCTTGGGTGCTTTGATTCCAACACTCGGAAAAAAAAAAGGAAAAAAAAAAAGAAGAAAGAAAAAGGTTTCGAGTAATAAAAAACATGATTGCAAAACTGATGAGCCAAGGGGCCGTATCTGGGATGGTTTATCCCATTACCAGACAAGAAATTGCTAATACCTAACGAATTGTCGAGTGTCGCCTTCAATTCTACGTGATTTTTGCCTGAACTTTGAAGCGTTACTGTCAATGTTTAGGTTAACTTTCGGAGGTGAAGTAAAACAAAATGAAGCAGCCAAAGCCTGTCAAAAACAACAACACTCATTCATTAAGTTGATAGAATTGATGAATGTTTCGAAATCAAAGAAACTAACGGCCTAGTTTTGTTGCCACGACGAAATCAGTCAAGATCAGATGTTTGTAGTAAAATACTTGCAATCTTATTGCCATCATCGTCAAGTTGGTAGAGAAGTCTTATTGCAAACCATATATAAAGCTAATCAAAATTTCTTCTTCGGGCAAATTACGGCCAGCCCCCAATGTAAGCTCAAATTACAAAACAACCCCTCTTGTTTGGATAATTACAACCACCCCCTCAACTATGTATTGTCTAACGAAAAAATCCCTCAGTATGTACATTTGACACCGTAAGGGTGGACGTGTAAGACAATGCATAGTTAGGGGTGGTTGTAATTACCCGAACATAAGGGTTTTTTTCACAATTTTAGCATACCTCAGGGGGCGGCCGTAATTTGCCCTTCTTATGCATAAGAAAAATCTTTTACTCGACACATAGAACAAATTCAACAATACTATACTGTGTCCCTCAATAGCAATTAGTACAAAAATACACTTAATTTGAATAGAAAAAATAAACGGTGGACTGAAAATAATACAAGTACCTGTAGGTCAAGCCGGTGAACATTAAATATGTCCTTCATCGAGTGCGAGTTGTACGCTAGGATGTAAGATCTGTACGCATCTTTAGCCGACTTGTTCAAATAATAGTTGTTTGAAACCAACTTTTCCTGCATCGCATGCATATTAACAATTATTAAATTAATTTCCTCCCGATTAAATAATAGTCGACACAATCGAGCTATCTGTAATAAATAGCTTTTGTTAAGAAACAATGAAACTAAATCATTCTGGGAAAAAAAAATTACCAAGTGAGACTGAACATTTGCTAGCTTCTTTTGATCGAATTCGTATTCTTTGACAGGTACTTTCGCAGCCTGAAATCGAGAGAGCAAAAACATTCAGAGTTGCTGAGATTAACTAAAATTGAATGACGAAAAAGGGGAAAAAAAAAACGGATGAAAATATCGAGTAATTTCTACTATGTGATATGCTGCTATATTTAAGCAAGTAACTCGGACCTTGAGATATTTAAGAAACTGTACTTCCTCTGGAATTAAAAAGAGCAGAGCATTCCCTTTCGCACCTTCTCCACGGGCTGTTCGACCAACTCTATGAATATATTCCTGATATAAAAAATAATAATAAATAAATGAGGGGAGACTCAGAAAAAAATTATAGGATTAATACAACAAACAAATTCATCTCAAAAAGTTGGTTATCACCTTAGGCTCGTCTGGGGGATCATACTGCACAATCCAATCCTAGAAAAAGACAAGATAAAAATCAATACACAAACACGGAATAATATAAGATACAAAAATAGACGGAAAAAAAATGAATCTTGGATTTTTTTAAAGTGAAATAGCATATATACCACAGCTGGAATATCAAGACCACGTGCAGCGACATCTGTACATAGAAGGATACCCTTTTCTGCTTTGCAGAAGTCGAAAAAAGTAGAGGTACGTTTCTGCTGCTTTTGCTTGCCATGGATATCAAAGCAATCGATCTGAATATACTTGAGAAGTTCGGAATGGAATTTGACAGAATTGCAGGACGAGAAGAAAACCATCACTTTCTTTGACAAGTTCCTCTTCAAGAATGAGTAGAGAAGAATGAATCTCCTTGCACTTGGGACTACACAGTACCCTTGCTGTAGTCCTTCATTCGTCACCTAAAAACGAGACAGTTTTATTAATATAAAAAGTGGGGCCCACCTATCAACTAATGTAAAAATAGATAGAGTTTGTTACCCTCTTCCTTCCATCGTCCACATCGACATAGACAGGGGTTGTCTGAAATGATAGTCGTGCAAGATCCTCAACCTGGAATTAAGAAATTAAGCTATTCTGTTTAATTGATTCCAGTTTTCCAACTCATAAGCCAACTCACTTTTGACGCATGGGGTGGAATTCTAATGGGTAGAAAATATGTTACTCCATGTTGTAAGAACAATATACACGGTTATGATTTAATCTTATCGAATCTTGTTTTATATTTCCTTGCAAAAGAGTTCTTTATTCAAGAAAACAACAGCTAGAGTTTTCGTACCTTTTTGGTTTGAGTAGCAGAGAAAAGAGCTGTTTGCCTCGCCTGCACATAGGTTGCCATATGAGATGATTGGACTTCGCAATTACATTTAAGACCATTACAGTATTATAAACGGGCTCAAATAAAATAAATACTATTGTCATGCTAAGTAAACTATTAACTATTTGCTAGAAAAAAATTGCCGAAAGCAACATAAAGATTAGAATGCACGTTTCTCTAGAATAAAAGATGAATATGAAGCAGGGGACCACTTAAATCTCGGATCCTTGAAACAATAACCGACACCAAAAAACAATTTCAATGATATTATAAGTACCTTGGGCAAAATTTTGGTGATTTGCTTCATTTCTTCTTCAAAATTAGCTTCCAAAATCCTATCAGCTTCATCAATTATAAGGCACTGCACATTGAAAAAATGATATCGGAAACTCAATAAAAAATTTCAGAATCCGAAAATTTCAGCAAAAGGATAAAACACGAGGGTGTCTTCCTGAAATTCTCCATAAAAATCTCAATAACAAAAAGAAATCAGAAATTCTCCATTAAAAAAGTAGAGGATTATGTTACGCTCCTTTCGAACATATCAAAAGCTGACAGCTCGAAAAACTAGGATGTTATCTCATTGGATTTTCAACAAGTAATCGAATCAGAAGATGCAGAGGAAAGGGGGTTAAGTACCTTGAGATTCTTGTAAATAAAGCCTTAAGTATTTTGAAGATGGTCGAGAAGTCGACCAGGTGTTGCTACTAAAATATTAACTCCTTTGACAATGCGCTCAGCTTCACCTCTTCTTGCCGAACCACCAATTACAAGTCCCAGTGTTTGCGAGTGATACTTCAAAAGGTCCTTTGCTACAGCATGTGTCTGTATCAACCATACAAATATTTACCCTTAAATATGCAAACATCGAAAACTAAAGGATCCCTTTATCTCAAACTGAAAAGCACAAAATGTACAGTTCTCAAGTGATAACAATCGACACTTTTTAGAACAGCAAAACCCGCTGCAGAGCAATGCACTAGGATAATATTATGCAAATGTGGGAAGAAAGATACTAACATGATTTTCATGTCCAAGTTATTCAAGTGCAACATATGTAATAAAGATATTCCTTAGAGGTTATACCAAAAAACGTAAATATATTTACAAAATAAAAAGTGCACATGGCAGGGTATTAAAGCCAGGAATGTGTGAATTGGTGGTGTACCTGTATAGCCAACTCCCTTGTTGGGCAAATGATAACAACACCAGTCCCATTTCGCGGCGTAAAACGAATGTGATGCAACAATTCAACAGCTGGCACCAAAAAGGCTAGGGTTTTACCGGAACCTGTCCTAGCAGCTCCAAGAACGTCTTTGCCTTCCAAAAGTGGTGGAATTCCTCTTGCTTGGATCTTTATCAACAAAAAAGGGAAAAAAAAACAAGTAACTTTATCGGTAAGAACAAGTTTTGCTCCTCAGTAAAATGAGCTGTGAGGAAATCTCGAGTAGCTGGAAGAAAAAACAAAAATGCTTCCATACAATTTGAAAAAGAATTAGAGATTTTAACGGGGATCTCAACTAAAGCATCCAATTTCAATGTACGAAGTATAAACCGTATTACCTATAGCTTACATGCAGATACATACAAATTAACCACTACACAAGGTGCGTTCGATTAGAGGTTGTGTGGCGGTTATTAGTTACACCATTCCGTATGCCACTATGAGTAAATTCATCAATTTACCATTCAATGCAGCAACAATGACGCAATATAGGATAATAACTAAGTTTATATTCCTACTTGATGAATTTCATATTCCTACAAAAGTCAGAAACAACTGCATAAACACTTGTTTTTTGTACCATCTCGAAAAACAAAAGCCAACGAATACAACACATTAAACAATGATTAACAATTGGAAGGAGTAGTAATTTACAAAGATGGGAATTTTATTTATACCTGAGTCATGTAGATAAAGCCCATGTCTTTGATGGCATTCATAGTGGGTTCGGATATCGGCAACACCGAAAAGGCTTCACTGCTCATAATCCCACTCCCACTCCCCTTCACTTCTCTCTTCAACCCCAAACCCTCTTCCTCTTCTTCTTCCTCTTCATCTATCTCTTCTTCTTCAGTTTTCACTTCTGCTTTTAGGGTTTTCGATTTCTTTTTGTCCCTCTTGCATTTCTTCAAATCAACCTCTTTCTCTTCCTCTTCATCTTCTTCTTCTTCTTCTTTCATCTCTTCTTCCGTTTCTTCTTCTACTTTAACTTCACTGGGTTTCGGTGGTGGGGTTTTCGATTTCTTTCTGTTTCTCTTCCGTTTCTTCGGGCTAACCTCTGCCTCCACCTCCGCCTCTTTCTCTTCCTTCTCTTCTTCTTCAATTTTCATCTCTTCTTCTACTTTCACTTTATGGGGTTTTGGGGGGGTTTTCGATTTATTCCTGTTTCTCTTGCGTTTCTCCTTTGTGGAATCACTGCCTCCAGATTGAACAGCTAAATTCTCTTCGGTGACCGCCATCCAGGTAGCGGCGGAGATACACAGCGATTCGGTAGCGGCAGCGGCGGAGATAGAGAAAGCAATTCGGTAGCGGCGGAGATTTTAGGTTTTGCAGCGGAGTCGTTTGGGAGTTTGATGCATATGATATGAGTATAAAATACTTGATACATAAATAATAAAATATAAAACGGGCTTTTAATTAAGATTTACACCCTAACGATATTCCCCTTATCAAATTAGCCCCAAAACTTTTGATAAAGATGGCAATGGGTCCGTTTTGAAACGGGTTTGCCTAAATCCAATATCGGCCCATGAAAATTTGTGACATCCAAACCCGCTCGACTCACCTTAATTTAAATCTCGACCCGGCCCAGTCTATAACTTAATGTGTGAGCCAGATCCAAACAAAATACAGTTAACTCTCTATAAATTAATACAGTTGGGTTAGGGAAATTCTATTAATTTAGCGAATCATTAAATTATCGAGTTAATAATTTAACACGTTTTCACCCAATCTCACCGAGAGAAACTATTATTTAATCGAGGTTCTACTGTATTTAATATATTTTTTTTCCTAATAATTTACTCGTATATCTATAAAATAAATAATATTATGTAATAAAACAGGTGAACTCAGTACTATTTCCATATAAAATAATTCAATAATATTTAATCTAAGAATAATTTAATAATATAATTTTAAAATTTAAATAAAATATTTTTGATTAGATATAATATATATATATATATATATTTTTTTTTTGAAACAAAAATACTTTTATTAGCAGGCTAGATAGCCAAATGGGGAAGTAACACAGATCCCTCTATAGAATCGGTATATGAAAGATGAGCAAATAGCATGGGCAAGTTTATTTCCCATACGCTTAACAAAACTAAAAGAACAACTAGACAAATTTTGAGCAAGCCATAAACAATCTTCAACCAATGTACCGAACGATGATAAGTCTCTCTCTCCTTTTTGTAGGGCTGTGATTACTTGAAGACAATCACCTTCGATAATAACATCAAGCCATCCCTTGTCACGTGCCATAGTTAATGCTTTGAGAGCCGCCATTGCTTCACACTCGACTGGTTTCAGTTGCCCATGAATCTTCACCACTTTCCATCCTAAGCAAATTCCCTCCTCGTTTCTTGCTACAGCTCCAACAGTAAAGCTCTCTCCTCCATTTGGAATCGCTGCATCTATGTTTATCTTGACAACACCCGGTGATGGTGAAACCCAATCGCTTCGATGGGCCATTTGAAGTTTAGGACTTGGCCGAAGTTGTGCATTCTTGAAAACAGCAAGATAGTTCGAACACCATCCCACGAGGTCGTGAGGGTTCATGGCTTCATCGGCTTTAATCATCTTATTTCGTCTTTCCCAGATCTTCCATGCAAGAACCGACGCAACTAAAAACCGATCCGCGGGCTGATCTTTGTGCATGATGATTAACCATTGCCAAGCTGATGGTTGGTTAGCACTGTAGTTACTATTAGATAGCAAGGAATTCCAGCAGACCTTCACCCCTTGACACTCAAACAAAACGTGCATGGTCGATTCTTCCTCCCTCTAGCAACGCCCGCATAGAGGTGAAGAAGACACTTTTCGCCTATATAGTTCCTTGTTTGTTGGAAGAATATTTTTACACAGCCGCCATAAGAATATCCTCACTTTAGGTGGAATATCAAGATGCCATATAAACTTCAAGTCGCCTGAATTTCCGCCACTGTGCGAGCCACTTCTGTCGCCCCTCTGCTGATCCGATGAAATCGACGAGGCAAGAATCATGTGATAGCACGATCTTACCGTGAACTTTCCATTAGGCGAATAATGCCAAACCCACTTATCCTTTGCAAAACCGCACCCCAATGGAATCTCTAAAATCCGGTCGATATCCACCGGCCAGAAAACTCCATTAATAACCTCTAAATTCCATGAATGGGTGGAGTCATCAATGAGATCAGCCACTTTGTTTGGAAAAGCCGAATAGATAGGCCTTTTCGTGATAATTCTGAAATTCCCACCCTCTCGAAGCCATGGATCTGACCACACGGAAGTGTCGTTTCCATCCCCGATTCGCCGTCGAATGCCCATCTTCAGAAAAGGAATAACTTGCCAGATGCTCCTCCACGTGGAGGAAGGTCGAGACCCTAGCCGCGCTGAGAGGAGTTCGCCTTGAGGGAAGTATCGAGCGGCTATAATCCTTGATAGAAGAAGATTGGGATTCGATAGAATACGCCAAACCTGCTTCGTAACTAATGCCCGATTGAAAGCGCTTAAATCCCGAAAGCCCAAACCGCCATCACTTTTGGGTTTACACAATTCCACCCATGCAAGCCAATTCATTCCTTTCTTTGTGCCATTGCCCCACCAAAACCGACGTATAGCTGCCTCCAAATGCCTCACCAAACCATTCGGTAAAAGAAAGCATCCCATAACGTATGACGGGATAGCCTGTAGGACCGATTTTATTAGGACTTCTTTTCCCGCTTTGGAAAGTTGCTTCTCACCCCACCCCTTCATTTTAGCCCATACTCGGTCGCGGAGATACGCAAATATCTCCTTCTTGGTTCTACCAATAGATGCTGGCAAGCCCAGATATTTATCATGCTGCTCCACAACTCTAAAACCAAGGATCTGATGTAGCCCATGTTTCAATTCCTCGGTGGTGGACGGGCTGAACTTCATTGTAGATTTGTCAAAATTTATTTCTTGCCTCGAGATTCGGGCATATTTGAGTAAAATGTCTTTCAAGACCCTGGAATTGGCCTCGGTTGCTTTGCCAAAAATAAGAGTGTCATCGGCAAAGCAAAGACTCGTCACCGTAGGGGCTGATGCTGCCACTCGGACTCCATGAAAAACGCCTCGGTCTGACGCCTTGGTAATCATGGCCGTTAGTGCTTCGGCGCAACAAATAAATAGATACGGAGATAGAGGATCCCCTTGTCTGAGGCCCCTCGATGGTTTTACATAGCCAAACTGTGCGCCGTTGAACAAAAAGGAGAATGAAACAGTTGATACACAAAGCATAACAAGGTCAACAAAAACAGCCGGAATACCAAAGTGCGAAAGAATTTTTTTCAGGAAAAACCATTCAATTCGATCGTATGCTTTACTGATGTCCAATTTAATAGCCATGTAATTAGTTCTTTTACTAGCATTCACCTTAATAAAATGATTTATCTCATATGCTACCAAAAATATTATCGGAGATAAGGCGCTTAGGGACAAAGGCAGACTGAGTGGGAGAGATCAAGTCATCGAGAACTAATTTGAGGCGATTAGCTAAGACCTTAGACCCGATTTTATAGATGACATTACAAAGTCTTATGGGTCGGTAGTCAGTTATTTTCTCAGGATCTTTGACCTTTGGAATTAGAACGATATAGGTAAAGTTAAGAGCAGAAGGAAGTTTATGGTTATTTAGAAAATCGAGAACACAAGAGAGGACATCAGAACCCAAAATGTGCCAATACTTAGAATAAAAAATAATCGGTAAACCATCGGGGCCAGGAGATTTGAGTGGAGCCATTTGAGAAATAGCTTGGGTTACCTCATTCGAAGAGTACGACATAGACAAGAGTTGACTCCCAGCTCCTGAGATCCGGTTATCCACACTCTCAAGCACCTCCTCTATCTCATCTTCACTCGGGTTCGTAGAGGTGAAAATATGATCGAAATATTCAGAGACGATACGTTCAATATCCACGTCTCTCTCATTCCAATTACCCGATGCATCCTTAAGCTTATGAACAGTATTGGATCGATTTCGAATAGTCGCTTTGGAATGGAAGAAACGAGTGTTTCTGTCTCCTTCTTGGATCCATTGAACTCGACTACGTTGCCGCAAATACATGTCATTGTCCTCGTATGCTTTTTCCAATTCACTCTTTAGCTTTCTTATCTCCTCTCTCCTATCAGCCGTAAGCTCGAGTCCCGTGAGGAATTGCAGCCTTTTCTGGATATTTTCAATAACCAGCCGTGGTTGTCTCACACTTGTTTGTCGCCAATGAATCAAGGCCAAACGACATTTATCATGTTTCTGGATTAAAGATTCAATCGGGTCAACTTTTGTGCTATTCTGTCAATGTTGTTTAATCACTTCTTCGCAATCTTCTCTTCGCAGCCATGTAGCTTCAAATCTAAAAGAACGTTTCTTCCTCGGGTATCTACCAGTAGGAGGAACGTTGAGTATTAGCTGGATAGGGATGTGATCTGACCCTGGGTAGCGGTTCAAATGCACCAACCTAGCATGAGGAAAAGTCGACGTCCAACTACCATTAGCACACGCTCTGTCCAACCGACACCGAACTGTACGCGGGGAAGTTTGGTTATTGGTCCAAGTGAATGGTGGACCGTCGAAGCCCAAGTCACTCAGCCCACAATCCACTAGCGCCTCTTTGAAAAGCTCAATCTGAGCAGGTTGTCGTGTAAGACCTCCCTCTTTTTCACTGTTACTAAGTATCTCGTTGAAGTCGCCCCCTATGAGCCATGGAATGTCTTGTTGGTCACGCAAAGTACGTAGGAGAGCCCAAGATAAATGTCGCCGACTCTGTTCTGGATATCCATAAAATCCCGTGACTCGCCATTTGTTATTACAAATTCGATCCGAGACCTCCACATCAATATGGTGATCTGAATAGCTGATAAGATCCACGTCTACCTCTTTTTGCCAAAACATAGCTAGACCACCCGAATTACCAACTTTTGCCACACCAATCCCATTAAGATTCCACCGTGATTTCAAATTATTTATTTGTGAGAGTGTTGCTTTCGTTTCCGAAAGAAACACCAGCAGGGGTCGATGATCCCGGAGAAGTTCTCCGAGCACGTGAATTGTCAAGGGCGCCCCAAGCCCTTGACAATTCCAAAAAATGCAACTCATAATACTCGACGGGACATTAGATATAATATATATATATATATATATATATATATATATATATATATATATATATATATATATATATATATATATATATATATAACTAACATACACAATATCCTCAAAAAAAAAAACATACACAATCAAAATTTTCTAATTGAGAACATTGAATCTTCAATTGGGAATGTAAGAGAACATTGAGCCTTCAATTGGGAATGTAAATTCATCAATTGTGTATCTTATCTCTATATATTATATAGATAGATTCGAACAAAGCATAACAATTTGCAACAATAAGAGAATTTGTTAAATTGTTGGAGTTTTTGGAATTATATTGAAAATTCCTCCGCAATCTATCGAAAAAGTCTTATACATCTATCAAGCCCAATAAATTAATAAGTGAAATTTGTCAAACTACAGTAAAACCTCTATAAATTAATACAATCGGGATTATGGAAATTCTATTAATTTCGTGAATCATTAAATTATTTAATTAATAATTTAACACGTTTTTACCAAGTCGGAACCGAGAGAAACTATTATTTGATCGAGGTTGTTAATTTATCGAGATTCTATCGTAGGTAACAATCGGTCAACAAATATAGAGGCAATCAACATCAATCAAGACGATGGTGTTGTGTATCAGCATTAATTTCCATCTCCACAAATTTGGAAATATAGCAAATTAGCATTCATAAACAAATAATTAAATGAAAACTAACAAATAACAAAACCTGCAAGGATATCATTAACCTAAAATAATGGAGATTAGTCTCAAATTCCAAATCAAATCAACATAAATCACAAACGATAATAATAATCAAAATCCACTATAAAAAAGAGGGTCTTCATTCTCAACCATTGCACCGAAAACAAACTAAAATGGAGTTGCCCTTTGCTTCATGCAATAGTCGAAAACTACTAACTATTTTGCTACTCTCTTTTCTCAGCACCAAAATAAATGCACAAAATGACGAGTTGTTTTCCAAAGTATGCTGGAAAACGAAGAACCCTAAGACCAGGGGCGGAACCAGGATTAGAAAGTAGGGGGGGCTAACTAAAATTTCGGGGTTCGGGGCAGCGCCCCGAAAAAAAATTTAGGTTCACAAGACATTGAAAAAATAGGTTTATACTGCGAAAACAATTACGACACATATCTATAATATGATATATATCTATAATTTATATGAAATTATGGAGAATAAATAAAAAATTAAGGGTTAAAAAACATATTTACAAAATCTTTGGGGGGGCCAAAAGTAATATTCAAAAAATATTAGGTCAAAATAGCTAAAAAAAAAATTTTTTTTTTTTCTTGGGGGGTCAACTGCCCCCCCTGCCCCTTCATGGTACCGCCATTGCCTAAGACATGTCTCACTCTTCTCCAACTCGATATGAGGACTAGCGAAGCTAGCTCGATGCAGGTACTCGGAAGAGGCGTGTTGTCCATGGCAATTGACCAAGCCAAACTAGCACTTGACCTAGTAAACAATTCGCTTGAAACACAATCGTTTTCCGATAAGGAGAAGTTTTTTTACTTGACTTGTCGTGACAATTATAATATGGCAAAGAGACATATGAGTGAAGGAAAAACGCAATTTGAAAGTGGCGACTTTTATGGAGCAAGAAGAAGCGTATCTTTTGATGCAACCATATCGTATACTTGCAGAGCACTCGCATCGCCTACACGTGCACTTCAAAGAGCAATTGAAATGTCGGATATTATATTTAACATTGCTCTTGTCGTTGTGAGTCAAGATTAACAAAATAATAAGGTTTAGTTTGATGTTTCGTTTGTCCTATTATTTTTCAAATAATTTTGTCATAGTTGACTAACTGGGAGATAACTAATAGGACCTTGAAAGGTCCAATAAAATTATTGTGCTATGATTAAATACATTAATAACAAAATTATCCTTCTAGTTTTCATCTTTTTATCATAATGACGTATTCAATTATTGTTTCTAAAACTAATTAGTAAAATATATATATATATATAATTCGAAAAAATAATAAAAATATTTTTTTTACCAAACAATTAAAAAAACAACAAAAATCGAAAAAATTAAAAATAAATTTTCTTTTTCAAAAAAAAAAATCGAAAAAAAACTAACTTTTTTTCGATTTTTTTTAAAACATCCGAAGAAAGTATAAATAAAACCGAAAAAATTAAAAAGAAAATTATGTAACAGTCTATCAACCATGAAAACACACACGTATGGGTGTTTTTTTGTTTTTTTTACCAAATTGCCCTACCAACCCGTTGCCCTTATCGATTCTCTACCGAAATATTTCTACCGAATTATTACCGTACCCTATCGAAATGTTTTGGTAGGGCAACGGCACTCAATATTATTAAAATGGTATTACCCTACCTACCGTACCGAAATATTATTAATAAATAAAAAATTATTTTAATAATTCATTTATTATATATAAAAAGTGAACATAGTATCCTAATTAAATACTATTAGTTAAAATTAATTATACTCTCTAGGTATGTTAACAATATTTTAAATTTCTTTCATTAATGATGATATAATTGATGTTAAAAGTTTTTATGTTATATAATTTTATTTAAGAAATATTTTACATTAGGTAAATTTAGAACATATATTTAGGACACTTATATTTTAAAAACTAGTTTTGTAGATTTTAAACATGTATACATTGAATTGCTTTGAAAAAATTGATATTCAATTTGAACTTAAATAGTAGATAATATAAATTGGTAATTACCATTACCATATCCTATTGTACCGAACTTTTGATATACCGAATTCGGTATACCAAAGTTTTTGGTAAGGCAATAGTAATGAATTTCATAATACCGAAATTTCGGTAATGATAGTGATTCGAGGGGTTTAATACGGTTGCCCTACCAAACCCACCCCTACACACACATTATCTAATAGTCTAATTTTTATTAGTTATCTAACAGTCTATCAATCTAATTTTTATTATTTATCTAACAAACTATCAACCATGAAAACACACACACACACACACACACACACACACACACATTATCTTACGAGTTGTTTTCGCACACTCTCGGGTCATATATCTTGCAACCCAAACCCTTCTTAATAATTTAAGCCTAGAGGTGGAAATCGGACGGAATAGATCGAAAATGGGTTTTTTTTCGGAAAAAAAATCTAATTTATATATCGGACGGAATAGATCGAAAATGGGTTTTTTTTCGGAAAAAAAATCTAATTTTGTTTGGCAGTAAAAAATAAGTTCCAATTTTCGTTCCAAAAAATCAAAATACAAAAAAACATTCCTTTTTGTAGAATACCCCGTTCAGCGGAATTTCGAAAATTTTGAAAACTACAATAGTTTATGGGCCTATTACAAATGGGGTTAATCACAAAAAGGCACATGACAAAGGCTCTGGATGTAATTTATAAAAATTAAGAGGATTTTCCGTAATTACACTTTACTTTAGGGAGATAGCTGTAATTTATCCTTTATATATCTTAAAGTCGGAGTGTACTTATGAATTTTTGTTATTGCAATATTTTAAGTCTGGTAGATCAGATAAAAAAGAATAGGAGTATCTTTATATGGAAGTATATTAATTTAGTTTTTAAAAATATTTATTTACCTTTTAATTTATTTATTTATATTGGGCCTCTCCTACTTTCACTACAATTAGATGTCTATTTTTTCTCATATATATATATAAACACCTAAACACAACTGAACGTTTACAAATTACACACATAAACACAACTGTCTCTCTGAAAACACATCGGGGAGAATTATATATATTATGCCGCCTCCGCCATGGATTCAAAGAAAAACGTAAAAATCAACGAAATCAACGACGACTTGTTGAGGGAGATACTCGTCCACCTGCCTCCAAAAACCCTTTTCAAGTTCATGACCGTCTCCAAGAGGTGGAAGTATCTCATCAACGATCCCACCTTTCTTAAGTTCCACAACAACAAACAACGTCACCGCTCCTCTGCCGTCGCCGGAGACGACGGCGGCCATCTGCTGGCACTTTTCCAATTAACAACCAAACACTTGTCCGGCAGATACCGCCGCCGTCCTTCAGAACCCGCAATGAACATACTCGCTGTTTTTCCCGACGGAAACCCCGAAATAATGTGCGTCGAAAAAGGAACTAGGATACTTCATCAACTCCTCCGAGGGTTTAGTCCTCTGCGGCCGCCACTCATCCAAGTACCACATCATGAACCCGGTGACCAAAAAGTGGGTCCCATTGCCACCGCCGCCACGTCATCGTCTAGACCAACAATACTACCGTGATTGGACGATGGGATTGATGGTCACCGCGTGGGAGGGGGACAACAGCTACATAGTCGTTCGAGCTGCCTTGACGGATGATCTCGACCAACTATTGCCCATCGAGACCTACTCGTCTAAGACGGGCGAGTGGGTCTCGTCGATGCTCGTTGGCACGGGGGGATTCATCCTGCACCCCTTGCCCGGGGCCCCGTTGGTGGCGAACGGCGTTTTCCACTGGTACACGTACAATTGGCAGATTGCTCTCTACGACCCTAGCGATGAAACGGGCCACGTACAATTGATCAAGATCCCGTATTTGGATGGTGCGGTTTCACGAGCCATAACAAGGTCCTCTGTCGACAACACATTATGGTTTGGAACAATCAACCCCAACAAAATCCAAATCTATAAACTGCCCAAGGGTGAAAAAGAAGATGGTAGAATGAGTTACAAGCAAAAAAAAAAACGATACCTTGCCATGAATGGGAGCTGGTCCACGATATCGACATTGAATCGTTGGGCGTGTTTTTTCATGTTCCAGATCCCGAGAAGAATCGGATGGATAGAATTCGATTGGAGTGCTTCGTACCGAATTGGTATCCACTTGTGCTTGTACTTCGACAAGCAGAAAATATTTTTCTCTACAACTTGGGTAGTAATATGGTTGAGTTGGTTCGGTACTATGGATGTGCTTATAATCACCTCGTACATGAGGAGTACTTATGTCCTTATCTCGAGTCTTCTTGCTT